TTTAATTCTTTTTAACATAAAACACAAAGAACAGGTTCACTCTGCTGGTAGAACAAAATGAATCACTTTTAATGTATACCACTGCCTAATAACATTGATACCAAACGAATATATGAACCTGGCTTCCCACTTAAACTTCTGGAGAGCAAAGTATTAGTGGAGGATTCCATACAACTGTGCCACCTTAGCTGGTCTTACAGATGGCTGAGCCCCATTGCTGAAGCAATAGATTCCATCTTCTTTCAATTCCTAGCGCAATTCCCTGAACCCTTTCCTCCTCCTTCTCTACATCATTCTCAGGACCAAACGTTAAGGGATACTAAACCCAGGTCACCACAAACAACTTCTAACATTCAGAATTGGTAAAATGTAAATCAATCCTGTTATATTCTCCAGCTAACTTCATTTCCATTAAAAGAAAAAAAAAAAAAAGGTTGAATAAATATTTAAAGAATATCTGTTTGAAAGGGCACCTAATTATTAGCCCGCCCATGGCTCTCACTTGATTTATCTCCTTCATACTAATTTAAACTTAACCTTTGCCACTGTCAGCAATTCTTCCACTCACTTTTTAGTAACTCCCTGGTACATTCTCTAAATTATTCTCTCTCTTTTCAAAGCCCAAATCTCCTTCTCTCAGGCTCTTTTGATTATTTCCTAATGTAACAGGGAAACTTGAAGGTAACTGATTCGAGCTAACTCAGCATCCCATGCTCCCCTTGAAACTTCCTCCAGTGTCAGAGAGAAAGCATGTCTCTCATTTTCAGTGCCAGCTCCGCTGCTCAAGCTACTGAGCTCAGCCTTTTAACTCTTAGGTTAATTCCTAGGATGCCATCCTTCTCTCTGGCATCTTAAGGCTTTTGCTCACTAGTAGCCAATTTTGCCTTCATATGTATGTAGATTTACCCTGTCATCACCTTCAAAAACTTTATCTTGGGTCTTCTACTCATGTCCAATTACCTTCCTTCATTTGTGTCATATTCCTCATGATCTTATACCTGCCCCTATTCCTAATACCAATTTCTTCAGTAATCCCTTGCAGTTTTTTTTTTTTTTTTAATTATTATTCTTTTCTGGAGGGTGAAGCAACTACGGGATGACTTGCAGTGTGATTTCTAACAACTTAGTCAATAAAAAATGCTCAATGTAAGGGTGCCAGGTGACTTTCTTCTAATACTATTCAGCAGCATTTACTCACTTCATTTCCCACAACATTTTGCTTAATTTAATACAATTTATGGATTTATAAAATCTTACCTCCTATGGTATCTATAAAACAATAGCATTTCACCTTCCATCCATAACAATGTGAATTGATTAATATTGTATTTAGACTTCTATTCTTCTTTTTTACCTTCCCAAAATTCCATATCCCCAGGCCTTCCAATATCACCAATTCTGGTTCTGGAGTTAGTCAATCAACAGTCTTTCTGATCAGTCTCCAACCTGTTATTGAATCCAGCATCCATTTATTTGTCTTCAGAATCTTTGCCATAGTCATTCCATTTCAATGCCTTGGCTCATGTAGCATAGTCCATGTGGAATGCCTTCCTCTGTGCCAATCCAAATCCAATGTACCCATCCTTCAAGGTCAGCTAAAGTCCTAATTCTTCCATCAAACCTTTGCCAAGGGTTGCAATATATTAAAGCCTTTGTCTAAAATCACACTAGACTTGCAACCTGCTTGACAAAATAGTACCTAATCATCTATAGTTAGCTCAAATATGTAGGCCTTGTTTTATCAACTATCCCTCTGAAAAGCATGAAGTTAAGTTTTTATTCTCTGACAGCCTACAGTGTGATGGACATACAGAAGTTGCTTAATGGACTTGTTTAATGGCTTAATACTAAACAAATACTATTAAAACAAGTAATAATGGCAATATTATGACATTGATAACTCCAGTTTGAGTGCAACTGAGGTTTTTAATGAATTACTTAGAAGGCTTCAGGCAGTATGACATAGTGGTTAAGAGTATAAGCCCAGGCTGGCTGGGTTTAAATCTTGGCTCTATCACCTACTGGCTAAGTGACCTTGGGAAGGTTAATTAACATCTTTGTGCCTTAATTTTCTTTCCTGAAAATACAGGAACATAACAGTACCTACCACACGGAGTAATTATGAAGATCCATTGAATTATTTTGGATACTTCAAACAATTTCTGGTATATAGAAATTGCTCCATGAATGGCACCTATTGGTAAACGTTCATTACACATAGAATGATAGTATCTCAGAACTAAAAGAACCTTTGTTTTATAAGTGAACAAGTTGAGGAATAAAGGTAAAATGATTGGCACAAGGTCATATAGCTATTTGGAGACAGTCAGGAAACCATCTGTCCTGACTTCCATTCAGTGTTTATTTTTTTTTCTCTCCAAGGATTCTATATCTGAACATGGAATTGAAAGATAAAAGTTTAGAATTGAAAGGGACATACAAGGCTCTCTAGTTCAACTTTCCCATAAGGGATCATACTGCATGAGCACTTGTCATAAACCTTTCATCTTTTCTGACAGCACCATTTCACAGAAGTTTACTCACCCAGATAAAAAGATCTTGATAGAACCGGCACCATGGCTTCCAAATTAAGAAATACATGGGGGCTGGGAATAGATGCCAAGGTCAGGTCCCCTGAGTTCAGATGACTATCAGTACATGAAGTCAATTTTAATGTTCATCTTTTGAAAAATAATAATTCTTTTTCAGGGAAAACATTGTCTGGAATACTCATTAAAAAGCTGTGATTCAGGTCATCCCACACATACATGAATGTTTTGCAGATAAGCTTCCTGGTAGGAATCTGAAATAATTTTGATGAACTCTGAACACTACCCTTTAGCAGCCAGAAAAACACACAGGGGCCAACTATCCATACCAGGCTGAAGGTTTCAGCTTTCTGTGTGGTTCTCTGGAACAATATTCAGCCTGGTTGTGAAATCAGCTGCACTAGGATTTTAAAATTCAATCTAGCAAATACACACTCTCAAGAGGAATTGCAGTAATAAAAGATTGCTATTAAATGGGCACAAATAAACCTGTGAGAAAGATTCTCTCATCAGATGCAATAGCATGCTATTCTCTGTCTTAATTCAATGCTAAGAGATTTAATTTCTCTTTAAAGCCAGTGAAGTTGCCGTGTGTAACAGTAGCAATAAGGAAGGAGGCTGAACTGAGGAATTATGTGTCCATAAGGAATGTGCATCCACTTCTACTTCCTCCATCCTTCAAGCAAGACTCAGGGATCCACATTTGCTGTATATGTTATTTAAAATGCCTGATTGTACTTATGGACTCTGAGTTTTTTGGCTTAGAATTTTGACCCTCAAAACAAGGAGGTCCCATTACTTGAATCTGAAAGTTGAATTACCTTGTTTATTGAAAACTGAACAGGTAGCCTCCGCTAATCTCACAGCAGAGGCATCATTCCTGTTTCGTGCTTCCATAGCATTTTACTTATATCTCTAACTTTATTCATGATCATCTGACTTGTCACACCTAGTTGTATGTTTCCTTTGTAGGTGATACACTCCTGATGAGAGAATTAGTGTCTCATTTATCTCTGTATTCTCCCAGAGCCTTACAGTATCTTGGACATAATAGCTGCTCAATAAATGCTTTGATATTTAGTTTTAATAATACATATGTCAAACATTTCTCAATTACACAATATTATTACTGGATTCTCATCTTTAACATACTCTTTCCTTCCTATTTCTGAGAACTCTTGCCTTTGAAACATGACAAAAGGTTTTAGCACTGTAATTGAGCTGGAAACATAAGCAGTAAGGGAGTACCTAACAATTATTTGCTGAATTTTAACTATGAAAACTTGTAGAGGTTTCTTTTGAGCTCTCAGTTGTTTAAGGGGACCCATTTATCTCAGCTGGGCAGAGGAAAGGAAAAAAAAAACAACAGAGAGAATTGACTAGGAGAGTAACCCAGAAAGACTACTATACCTTCTAGAAAAAAAAGACACAGTATCCAAGTCCTAACTTCAGGACCCATAAGCATGTTGGGATCATGGCATTCCCTTTTCTTTTTAACATTTTTTTCTGAGAAATTGTCAGTTTGATGATAAAGAAACATTTAATTCATGTTCATTAGGCTCACAGACACAACTGGCTATGTAATTTGTAGGGCCCTGTTGAAAATAAAAATGCAGAACCCCTTTTTAAAAAATTATTGAGAATTTCAAGATGACGACAGCAGAACATTAAGGCAAGTTGTGCCCTTTTAAGCATAGGGTCATGTGGGACTCTACAGGTCTCATTTCTGTGAAGCCAGCCTTGTCTTGTCCTGTCTTCAAAGAGCTTCCTATAGTGAAAAGCAAAAGGTCTGTATTTAGGGATAGAAGCTACAATTCAATTATATACAAGGGGCTACAGGAAACTAGCAGTTCGTAATTTTGTAAAATCATCCCAGGGAAGGTGACAGTTAAACTAATTTTTGAGGGAGCAATGACAGGGAAGAAACATATTTTATCCCAAAGGAAGGCAGACTTCACCAAATTTCAGGAATAGGGTTACTTTCAAGGAGGGTGGAGCAAATTAACATGAGGATGACATAATTGAGATTGAGAGTGGAAAGAGGCAAAAGCCAAATATATGGGGGAAGGGGTTGAACAATTATTAAGTGCCTACTGTATGCCAAATTTGTTTCCTCCGTGTCATAATTTTAAACACAACAATCTTGTAAATAAACCGTTCTATTTTACAAACAGGTTAGTTTAGGCCCAGGGTAGTGAGGTTCAAAGGGTTTGGTATACATTAGGTATCCAATAAATATTTGAGGAATGACTGGTGGGTCTGACTTAAGGCCCAGGACTCCTAACCCCTCAGCCAAGCTGACTCTTAAGAGTGCTTTTAACCCACCTGTGGTCCCTTCTGCGTCTCGCCAGAGGCCAAAGGTACCTACCCTGCTCTCGCCCCGCCCCTCATTTTCACCTGCCGGAAATTGAGAGGCAGAAGTACTTCCGGGATAGAAAAGGTCGCCCTGGCAAGATGGCGGCCCCCTTGGAGCTCAGTTGCTGGGGAGGGGGCTGGGGGCTCCCATCGGTGCACAGCGAGTCCTTGGTGGTGATGGTGAGGCCGCCTCTCGGGCCCGGGGGACAGAAGGGGCGGGGCCAGAGGCGCGAGGTGGCCGGGCCGGTACCGGCGGCTCGTAGCGGTTCCCTGCCGGGCCGAGGCCGGCGTGGCGCTGCTCGCTGCACCGCCCCGGGCTCCCTGCGGTTGAGTTACAACCTGGCCTGTGACCTCACTGGGGCGTGGCGGGAGACCCACCGCTGTTCCGCGTGGCTCCGAGTTGTTATTCTCATTCTTGCAAAGCTATCTGGGCGGTAGACTGGAAGCACAAAGCAGGGGACGCGCCTCCGCATCCCCCAGATCTTTTGGGGAACAAGGTTCCCCAGAGCTGGGTAGTGGCGCGCGTGCTCCCCGCGCTAGAAATCGGGGGAAGGGACGCGCCCCCGTGTCAGGCGGTTCTGTCTTTGGGGAACCCGGCTGTGAAGTAAAGCGGCTCTGCAGATTTGCATTACGTACTCAAGTCTAAAATGTTTTATTACAAACTCTGTTTCAGGCTTACGCCAAATTTTCTGGTGCACCCTTGAAAGTCAATGTCATAGATAACACCTGGAGAGGTTCAAGAGGTACAGTGTAAACTTTAAACACCCCTTCTTGCCTTCTTTAAGGGCCTCCCCCTCCCCACGTCAAAGCACTGAGGCATATAGCCAATAACTACCCTGGGATTTTAGTTTCTTTTTACCATGACCTTGGCTGTGTTTTGCTTATGATTTGATCATTCTGAATAATATTTCAAAGTGCAAGTCAAATCAGTGGAAATTATGAGAAATGAAAAATGTTCTCTCGAAATGCTTTTTGTGAAATTGCAAAAAACCAAGATGAGCTTATTCATTTCCCCCCTCCAAATGTTCATTTGGTATAGTTTCTAGAGTATTGGAGTCTCTTAAGAGGAAATAAAAATGTTTCCTTGTATATAAACTGTTTTGTTTTTTTATTATAGGAGATGTACCAATTTTGACCACTGAAGACAGCATTGTTTCTCAACCAGCAAAAATACTAAACTTTTTAAGAAAACAGGTGGGTGGTTCCTTTTGATGAAGTAGATTGTTGATCCCTGCATGTTGCTTTAAACACACACACACACACACACACACACACACACTAAGGTTTGTGGATTTTTCAAAAATTCTTTTTTGCCAAGTCAGTACACATTGGAGATAGCTGGGGTTTAATATAAGAAGAGACTTGAGAACTTATTGCTCTAAATCATGAGTTGTACTGTGATTTGAAAGTCATAAAGTGAGGTATAGTCCATTTATATTTTCATGCACTTTGCTTGGATTTTATTTAAGTTTAGCTATAAGAAAATTTAATTTAGCCATCTTTGCTTTTATACTTATTGATATGATTGTCAGTTTAGCTACAAACTGCCTACACATTTTGTGCTAGGTATGACAGCTGAGGTCCCAGCAACTATTTATTTTATTTTTAAAAAAACACTTAACTGGCCCTGGCCGGTTTGGTTCAGCGGTTGGAGTGTCGGCCTGAGGTCCAGAGAGACCCGGGTTCGGTTCCCGCTAAGGGCGCGTACCTCGGTTGCAGTTTGTCCCTGGCCCAGGTTGGTCGTGCCGGTGGCAGCCACTTGATGTGTCCCTTTCACATAGATGTTTCTCTCTCTCTCTCTTCCTGTCTCTCCTTCCCACTCTACCTGAACAAGAAATGGAAAGATGTCCTTGAATGAGGATAAAAAAACAAACAAAAAAAAACACTTAACAGCCCTGGCCAGTTTTGCCCAGTGGTTAGAGCGTTGGCCCACGGACCAGAGAGTCCCAGGTTTGGTTCCCGCTAAGGGCACATACCTCAGTTGCAGTTTGTCCCCAGTCCCGGTTGGGGTTATGGGGGTGGCAACCAGTTGAAGTGTCACTCTCGCATTGATGTTTCTCTCTCTTCCTCCCTCTCATCCTCATGCTCTATCTGAATATAAATGCAAAAATGTCCTCTGGTGAGGATTAAAAAAACCACTTAACTGCCCAGGACGGTTTGGCTCAGCGGTTGGAGCATTGACCTGTGGACCAGAGTCCCAGGTTCAGTTCCCACTAGGGCCACGTACCAAAAAAAACACAACAAAAAAAACCATTTAATTGATAGTTGCAGTTAAGTGTTTTATGAAATACTGTATTCAAGATATTTTAACATGTAAAGATATTTATAATGTATTCAAAATGTACAAACATGTAAAGATTTATATAAATGGAAAAGTTATTGGTTTCTTTAAAAAAAGCTATCATTGGTTTTGCTAATACTTTTAAATTTTTTCTGGTGATTTTGTTTTTAGAGTGAAGAGAGAGAGAGAAAGGAAAGACAGAAAGATGGAAGGAAGGAAGGGAGGGAGGGAGGGAGAAAAGAAAAAGAAAGAAAGAGAGAGAGAAAGAAAAGAAAGAAAGAAAGAAAGAAAGAAAGAAAGAAAGAAAGAAAGAAAGAAAGAGGGAGGGAGGAAGGAAAGACAGGCAGACAGAAAGAAAGGGGAGGGGGTGGGGGAGGGGAGGGAGATGTGAGAGAGAAACATCTATTGGCTGCCTCTAGCAGGCACCCCCCACCAGGGATCCAACTGGGAATTGAGCCTGCCACTTTTTTTTAAATCCTCACATGAGGATATTTTTCCATTGTTGTTTTTGTTTTTTTTTTTAAGATAAAATGAGAGGGAGGGAGAGAAAGAGAGAAATATCGATGTGAGAAAGACACATTGGTTGCCTCCCACATGACCCCAGCTGGGGCCAGGGATCCTTCCTAATCTAAACCAACCCAAGTGTGTCCCCTTGATGGGAATCAAACTTGTGACCCTTCATTCCGTGGGCCAGTGCTTTAACCGCTGAGCCAAATCGGCCAGGGTGAACCTGGCACTTTTTGGTGTATACTCTCCAACAGAGCCACAGTGGCCAGGGCCACTTTTTTTTTTTTAAAGAAATATGGCAACAAAATTTAGAATAGTTCCTTTCTTTTTTCGTGGGGGAAAAATGTAACCAGTTAAAACTTTTTCCTTACTAGTAACAAAAATAATAATAGCTTCTATTTAATAAGTTTGTACTAAACTGGTCATTAACAATTACTGAAATAGTAGTAGTGAATGAAAAATAATAACAGTTATTGACTTTACTGTGTGCATGATGCTATGCTAAGAACTTTATTTGCATTAAGCAACATTGTCATTAAATTTGTATTTCTTTTTCACTCTTTTAATATCACATTTGCCATTTTTGAGGAAGAATAATAGGAATTCTAATTTATTTAGCTTCACTGTTTTGGAATGCTCTTGACTTTTGAGGTTTATTTTTCATTTTATATTTTTTAATAGAAATATAATGCTGATTATGAACTATCAGCAAAACAAGGGGCAGATACACTGGCTTACATTGCTCTTCTTGAAGAGAAGCTTCTTCCTGCAGTGGTGAGCATTGGTGAATATTATAATATTTTAGTGATCTACTGAAAATGTACTTAGTCTATTTAGAAGAAGAATAATGAGAAGGGCTTAAGAGAGGAAATTTCATTTATGTATTAATCTTGATTCTTTCATGTTCTTGTGAGACTGGATTCTATTAGACATTCAACCAGTGTGCAAAACAATAAAGTGAAAGATAATGTCATTTTGGAAATAAAAAGTCTTTGTGGAAGATGGAGTTTGTTGTTCCATGTATAGAATTGGGTGAACTGGAATCCATTCATTCAGCAAATATTTAGTGAGCACTACTATGTGCTAGGCCTTGTTCTGGGTGCTTGGGATATAATAATCCACAAAACTCATGTTTAGAATCTTGTTTAATCTTTCAGTGTTTCTAACTGGAAAATTTGTATGAAGTCCCTTCACACAAAGATATTTATGAAAAACTTGCACATCGATTGAGTGATCTTTCTTTTAATAAAAGAACATCCTTGTGGTGCTTTTTTTCGCTTCTTTTGCAGCTTCACACTTTCTGGGTTGAGAGTGACAATTACTTTACTGTGACAAAGCCATGGTTTGCTTCACGAATTCCCTTTCCCTTGAGTTTGATCCTTCCTGGGAGAATGTCTAAGGGAGCACTGACCAGGATTCTCCTGACCAGAGGAGAGCCTCCCCTCTACCACCTCCGAGAAGTGGAAGCACAGGTATGGGCACAATTACTCCCGAGGAGGGACAGGGGAGGTAGCAGAGAAGAACTATCTAGACATACCTGCCTAAAAAAGAGCATCTTTCCTACCTCTGAGATGTAATGTCATCCTTACTAGATATACAGAGATGCCAAGGAGTGCCTAAATCTTCTGTCAAACAGATTGGGAACATCTCAGTTTTTCTTTGGAGACACGTGAGTACATTCCCTTAAAAATCATTTTGATGTTTTGTGTGCATATAGTCAATGAGCAAATTATTTAAAGCAAGTCCTCTTGTCTTCCCACTCCCTTAGTGAGTTTTTCACTTAAAAAACATTTAATGGATTTTTTACTATGGGAAACTTTCTGTTGGTGGTAATCTAACATTGACTTAATATACTGCGTTTGTGGATTGAAAATTTCTAGGACTACTCCCACCATGTCCCCAGTCCCTGTATAACACTTGTGAGTAAAAATGAATCTTAATTTACAACTGAGTTTTCTTGTAAATAGAATAAATGGGTAGAGTATTAAAAAAACTACCAAGTAAAAGTCTACTTGCATCATTACTATAAGCTAAAATGGGTAGTAAACCTTTTAAAGGACTAAATTGTATACTTCAAAATTGACTAATATATTTGAGAAAACATTTTTTAATAATCCCAAGTTAATATTTTCTTATGTGCTTCTAAAAAATCCTGCATTTATTTTTAGGCCTTCTACCTTGGATGCCTATGTGTTTGGTTTTCTTGCACCTCTTTATAAAGTACGCTTCCCTAAAGTTCAGCTACAAGAACATTTGAAACAGCTTTCCAACCTGTGTCGCTTTTGTGATGACATCCTAAACACTTACTTTAGGCTTAGTCTTGGAGGTAAGCTGGCTCTTCTTCAGCTAATCTTTGTTTCTATAGAGTATTTGCGTATTCTCCTAAAGATGTATGAGCAAGATTCATTGTTTATTAAAGAAGTTTGTGTATTGTCTTTAAATACTAGTTTATAGCGCTTCAAGAAGTTGATTTTTCCAACTTTATTTTTATTTCCATAAGTTAGTTCTTATTTAAATAGAGAAATGAATATTTGTGTTTTGTCTGTTCTTTTAGATTTTACACATTTCTTGCTTCTTATTTTTCTTTAAATATTGCCCCTTTGAAGTGGGTCATTTTCTTCTAAAAGATTAAACCACAGGTATTTATTGAGGTATTTACTAAGATAGCATATTTCCTAATGCAAATGGGCAATTACTTTAAATGTTGCTTCTAGCATTTTCCTGCGTGAACAGAAATCAGTAGCAGATTGATTTTGGTGAGGTACACCCCCATGATTCCACTACTTGAAAACTGATTGCATCAGACTGGAGGTATTGTAAACAGAGGGCACTTATCATTTAGGATATGATTCGTTGGGAGTGTAAAACCTTATGCTTAAGTGATTGGGATACTAAATTTGTATTGGGGAAGTTGACAGAAATTCTTTTAAGAAACAGGAGCTATAAGGATAGCTAGCTGAGTGACAGCTTATTTTTTATGGGTGGTTATGTGTTTTGTATATAGGAAGGAGTTAGTAGTTTGGGAGTCATGAAATTAATTAACATTCAACTCTGTTACTTTGAAGCAGTGGTTGGCAGATCTGTCTATAGGACAAATACAAAATCTTGGGTCCTACCAGATTTACCAAATTAGAATTTCTTAGGGATAGATCCTAGGAATCTGTATTTTTTTTTTTTAAGTTCCCTTTGGGTGTCAGGTGGATTCCTATTTGGGACTCACTGCCTTAGAAAGCTATGCAAATAGTTGTAACTAAAGACCTATTTGGAATGGGTGTGGGAAAGGCACGACTTAAATTTGAGAAGAAAATGAGGACTGCTGTGCTCTTTTACTAATTACTTAGGCTAGCTGCATCTCATTTGGCCTACGTGTCTACGCTGTGGACACATTTAGTCTTTTTGTTTATGGTTTGGTTTTGGGGCATTACATTCCCACTTAAGTTTGCCATTGAACCCAGAATGGTTTTTCTCTTTGCCTTCTTGTTTGGAGGGTGGGCCACTTGGGAGGGTGGATAGACTCAAATTCTTTTAATCTAAACAGCTTTAAAGGCTTTCAAAATTTCCTGTCTTTCTGATTTCTGTCCCTGGCTTCTTAGGCATCTCTCCTGCTGGACAAGAAACGGTAGATGCAAATCTGCAGAAACTCACACAGCTTGTAAATAAGGAATCCAACTTGATTGAAAAGGTCAAGTTTATTTCAATCATTTTTTAATAGTAATTTGGTATTTTCCTTTCTGCAGTTAATATTGTAATTTAGGTTATGAATGACCTTTACCTTTAAAAGGTTAATTTTTTTTAAAAAACCTGTTTAAATATACATTTACTAAGGTTATATAGTATAATATAGTACTTTGAAGCCAGAAGTGGCCCTGATAGCTTTGGTTTAAGATCTGATATTGGTATTGGGTTTACTTTAACCACACAATTAGTATTTTTCTAGTTGAGAGACCCAAAAGCTTGGCTTGAAAAAAAAAAATGAAAATAAAAAATAAATAATTTGCTTGCTTGTCTGCTTCTGCCTCTGAAGGTTAACATTTTTGGGGATTGGAAGCATCTGTGCTTATCCTTTCTTGTTAATTGTATTATGTCTTATTTTTTTCTTCCACATAAACTGTTTTATATTTTCTCCTTCCTGTTCTTTTCTGTTTTAAATGTCCACGATTTTTTTTTAATCACTGTGGATGTTTTGCCATTTTGGGGTTTTCATTTGGTGAGAGAGAGATTGAGGAACTGGGGAGGCAAGAGAGGCAACAATGGAAATTTCAAGGGTGCTTCCAGTTGGGAAACTATAAGAGAGTTCTGTGTATTTTCCCAAGTATCTGGTAAACTTGCTTATTTCCTTATACAAATGAATAACAATACTTAATTTTTTCACAAGCTAATGGGGCAGTGTAGCCTCATAACACTGGCTAGCAGTAAGAGGTTCTGTGTTGTAGGAGCTTTGTCTCGTTTAATCCTCACAACAGCTCTGTGAGTATAGGTCCTTTATCATCTCCATTTTACGGATAAGGATACTGAAACTTCTTGAGGATCTTATGTCACCTGCCCAAGGTCATTCAGGCAAAGAAAGTTAGAGATGTTATCTGAACCCTAGAAAGTGGACTCCAGCCCTGGCCGGTTTGGCTCAGCGGTTAGAGCGTCGGACTGCGGTCCGGAGAGACCCGGGTTCGGTTCCCGCTAAGGGCATGTACCTTGGTTGCAGTTTGTCCCCGGCCCTGGTTGGGTCGTGTGGGTGGCAACCACTCGATGTGTCGCTTTCATGTCGATGTTTCTCTCTCTCTCTCTCCCTCTCACTCTATCTGAACAAAATATCGAAAAATGTCCTCGGATGAGGATAAAAAAAAAAAAAAGAAAGTGGACTCCAGCATGGGCTCTGCGGTCGGCCGGCCAGCTAACTCATGAACGACATTGTGTATCCATTCCTAGCGGCGCTAGGAGCCAGGTGTATCACTGCCACTCTCTGTAATGACTGTTCTGTTTCTCTTATTGCATTTCATGTGTTATAACTTGAGAAGTAAGTAAAACTGAGCAGTAAAATTGTAAGAGTTCATTACTAAAGTTTGGGTAAGCTGAATAAAAAGTTAGTTTGTTTTCATTCTTTGTCCAACCCAGTAAATCTCATGAGAGGAAGTATATTGAATGTTAAGTATGGATAATGGAAAGATTACTGAGACTATTTTAGACACTTACATACTAGATGAAGGCTGTCCAGTATCATTCCCATTTTCTACATATGGCACATTCATGATAGACATGTGAACAGAACCCCATGAGATACCTACATATGCAGAAAGTGGAACCCAGAGGCCCTGTCACCACCTTATATACTTCATCTTGAGTTATCATCAATGTATGAATGTTTTCTGACCCTCTCTCAGCACTGCCCCCACCCCTTCATACCTGCTTTTCGGTTTGGTTTACTGTTTGCTACAAGACATTAGAGCAACAGATTCTAATGGCTACTGCTCACTGTTTGGACAGAACATCTAGAGTTTTTAAAAAAAGAGTTATGTTTCAGGAACTTAGATTTTGCAAGGAAAAAAAAAGATACCTTAACACAATTGATTCAAGTAGTTCACTGGAGATACTTTTTTTCATTGGCTAATTAAAAGTTAATCTTTTATTCTCTTTCCTGTCCAACAAATCCTGTGTACTTCTGCTGAAACATTTCCACTTTGCTTTACAAGAGCATCTTGAGAAGATAAGGGAAAGTTTTGTTATGCACATATTCAAAACTAAAAACATGCATATCAAGTGGATAGAAAGATGCTATATTCTGTTGGTTTTGGATCTTTGATGGCAGCTGCCTTCTAGTCTTTTTATGAAGTTAAACTGACAGTGAGCTCAACACTAGGACCTGAGTCTTATGCTCTGTTTGCAGGGTGCTCTGAGTTTTCTAAGATCTCAGTTCTAAATAATCCCTCTCCTAGTATTCCAGGGATGCTAATATTCTCCTTAGGGTAAGTCTGAAACTCCTGGACATATTTTCAGCTGTTTCATATTTTGTTTCTCTAGAGCAGGCTTAGAACTGATCCAGTGTTTGAAATGCCTCTGGATTAGGCCTAAAGAATGTATCCTTGTTTCTCTTTTCCTAGCTTCCTGTGGTCTAAATTCTCTCACTCTGAAAGAGCTGGTCTTTTTGAGTAGAGTACAGGTCATTTTCATTGAGGCAATGAAGTAGTTGAAAGAATAATAGTGTTGGAATAACACCCGGGTTCAAATTTCACCTCTGATACTAGCTTTGCAGCTGAATGCAAATTCCTTAGCCATTCTGCGCTTCATTTATCTAATCTGTAAAATAGGGAATGATTGCATCTGCTTTTTTTTTCTCCTTCACCATGGTGTTGGGAAGATCAAATGAAGTATTGTATGTGAACAAACTTTGCAAACTGGAGCTTAGTATAACAGAAGTATTGCTTTTACTGTTAGAAGACCTCTTAAATCAGGTCATGTGATGGCTAAGTTCAACAGAACATTCATTTTGTAGAGTTACTATACTTTTTTTTTTTTTTTTTATCCTCACCTGAGGACATTTATCTTCAGATAGAGCGGGAGGGAGAGACGGAGGGAGAGAGAGAGAAACATCGATGTGAGACAGACACATTGAGTGGCTGCCACCCACACGACCTCAACCAGGGCTGGGGACAAACTGCAACTGAGGTACATGCCCTTAGCGGGAACCGAACCCAGGACTCTCTGATCCGTGGGCCGATGCTCTAACCGCTGAGCCAAACCGGCCAGAGCGAGTTATTATACTTTTGTGAAGGCACCAAAGATGAGCCATATTGCTTTTATACATATACTGAGTCAGCTGGTATTTGAGGTATGACATTTAGAATTCTTGAGAGATTATTTGCAAGAGAAAGGTTTCTCTGGCAGTCCTAGAAACATATGGTTCTGTACTCTTCTAGGCTATAGTTTGGATGGGGAGGTTGTAGTCCACATAAGTGGTGCCACAGTCATTAGTCAGATGTACCTTTTGTACTTTCCACAGATGGATGACAATCTTCGCCAAAGCCCTCAACTTCCTCCTCGGAGACTGCCAACACTTAAATTGACTCCTGCAGAAGAAGAAAGCGATTCCTTACAGCGGCTGTCACCCTGACAGGCAGCCTGCTTTGTGTCTGAGGTCATGATTGTTGCCATACTCTCTTATACTAAGTGGGCAAAGACAAAAAGAAAATGCCGCTAATAGGTATAAGGAAGACTCTAAAACGAGAAACTTTCTATGACATCTATTTTTTTAAATTAGGAAGCTTGTATTTTAGCTTGGCAATGCACTTTAAATACCAGCAAAGTAAATACTACATGAACTTCGGGGAAAAGAAAACACATTGTGTACTGTATGTATGTACATATATGTATAAAACCTGCCCTAATCTTGGCAGATGTTTGTCTTTGGTTCATATATTGCTGACCAAAAGCTACAATTCTGTTCTGAATGTGCACTCTTAATTTATTCAAGCTAATTTATTAATTTAGTGGTCTTAGACCAGTATAAATACCTGATATGTGGCTCTTTGTCTGAGGCCTTTTTTCTTCTGTTTAGAAATTTAATGCCTATTTTAGATATTAGGAAAAAAATTATCCTAATATTCAACTTACTTCCATAGAAAAGCCCATATTTAACTGTAAAAAAGCAATGAGGAATGTGCTTTTTAATTACGCTCTCATAAGACTAAACTTTTAGGGGGCTATTACCATATATACATATTAAGGGTGGTTATATATAATATTTATCTGACTATATGCACTTCAATATTACATTAGTATTTGCTGACATGTTCAATCTAGGTTAGTAAGGGCTCTTTCAGTTTATTGGGTGAATGTGGCAACTTTAGACCTATGTATTTATAGTATATCTTTAACTCCAGTCATATCTTTCTTGGATTGATTTCAGAACTGAATGTGTTGGTTATTGTTATTATGCCAGTCTTACTGAAACTTGCCCCATTCTTAGACACTACTCAAAAGGAACCCCCAGCAGAGTAATAGAAGTACCTACTGTGTGCTGGTTCAAGTTCATCATGCTTATCTCAGACCAGTGTTCTTTCATAAGAAGCATATCATGTGGTCAAAAGTTTTATGACAACTAATTATTTTTTTATGTAGTTTACAGTTGAAGGATCCAATGGAATCATCGGCAATAGCAGTACATTTTAAAGAATATTTTCTATTTATTGGTTGCTGAACTGTTAAAGGATTTGCTGTGCAAGTAATTTTACTTAAAATAGAATCTTATTTTAGTGGCTGAGGTGCTTCTGTTGTCCTAAAACCACTTCTGGGATTTATAAAATATAGGACTATGTTTTTGAATAGTGTCTTAAAAGATTACTATGGTGCTCAGCAAATCTTATCATGTCCTGCAGAAACCCACATATTAAGGAAGTAGCTTTGTAGTCAAGACTCGTCTAGTTTGAGCTAAGTGGAGCTCAGCTGTGTTTGACCTGCATCCTTTCAGTTTGTTCTGTATTTCAGTAGCTATTTATGCAGGAGTCTTTAAGACATTGTAAATATTCCTTCTTGAAGGTGAGAAACAAGGTGGTCTTCAAAATCTTGTTCATCTGTTTGGATGCATTTAGGGAAAGTAATTAATGAATTTCATATAAGATCAGGTGGGAGAGAGTGTGTGCATGTATTATGCATTAATCTTCTATTAGTCTACAGCAATCTGAAATCCATATGAAAATTCTATGTTGAAAATTGTGAGCAGAGGACTTTATTATCCTCTAGGATTGATGTATGTTGGAGGTGGATGATGAGCACATTAACCAGACATCTGTTTATGTTTCAGTCAGGGTTAGTCATTTTCAGTTATGATTTGTATTAAAAATTCCAAAAAGCATTTGAAGTGGCTTACAATTGTTAAACACATGTAAAACAGGATAATTAAGGTTAGTTTTGGAAAAATAAAAAAATTTGTGGGAGAAAGAGCTATACTAACACTAACAGATTATAAATTGAATGGTAAATTTAATTTTAAGTTTCTCCATAGGCCAAGTAAAAGGGTAATACTGGGCTATGTAAATTTTCCTGTCAATAAAACTGCTAATGTCTATGAATAGAAAAATGTATTTAAGTTTTTATAAGAATGTGGAAGATCATGTTCTTAAAACACAGACTTTAGCTGATAATAATACTGTAATGTTTTCTGTGTTGAAAATTTAATCAAAAAATGTCTTTTTAGAATAACAAGTATTTGTCCTTTTTTAGTAGAGAAGATGAGTGTAAATATGGTTTATTTCCTTTTGGTCATTCCTGCTCTGAACTGCCTTTAGCCTTACATTACATAGGCTGTGATGCTTCCAGGCTACTTCTAAGATGCAAAATGTGATGTAGATAGGTAAACATTTATATGTTGGTTTACTTCGTTGAGTTTTTTTGGGATAAGCCAGCGAGGTGCTAGGAAGCTGTCACTGAGCACAAACCACCGAAGAGATGCCACTTGTGTAGGAAGCTCTTGCAATGGAACAGTTTTCCAGACTGGACAGAGAGTGTGATCAGCCTGTCAAGATAAGCTGTTTGTATAAAGTTTGAGTTTGTTGAGATAAATGGTCTACTGTCTTAAACAAAATGCTGTGACCTACTTTCTTTTGGAGGTGATGGTGGAGAATAATATAAAAGGGACTATATTTGTGTTTATATTTGTTTGTGGTGTAGGATTAGAAAACTGGTCAGGTAAATTCCCATATGCTAAAGATCCCACATCAACTGTCGTAGTCATCCATAAGACTGACCATTCTTATAACACTAAAGAAACTGTAAAGAATGTTGAGGATAGTCATTTCTTCAAAGGTTTAATTGAAGTTTCACAGTGCCCCCCCCCCCCCCCAAAGTTGGCATTGACAAGCAAAACAATTTCAACTTAGGTATGTTTGTATTATTTTGGAGGCACTAAAGGATTGGAGATTTTATACTAACTCCAAAGCATTTTTATTTTCATTTGTAGTTTCTATTTATTTAATATTGCTAGATGTATAAATATGAAAGAATGGGGATGCTTATTTCAATCAGAGCTAAGTTATTTTCAGAAGTCTTCTAAAAATGGAAAACTAGACATTAAACAAGGCAAAAAATGGTAAGGATGATAGTATCTCAGAAAACCAATTTTTTTAAAGGCTTATGATAAAAGTTTGAAATAAGTAGTATGTTTTCTTAGCGCCTCTTTCAAGAATGTACATTTACTAGGTCTATTATATTTTTTGATCCTTTAAAACCAAACTATAAATTTTTAAATGCAAAGACAAAAAGCTGAGTGATGGATACACAAGATTTCTCTGGACTGTTTTTGCAACTTGTGAATCTATAATTATTTCGAAGTAAAGGGTTTTAAAAAGTAAATTCAATAGAGTAAATTTATCATTCTCTACATAAACTATGATTTAAAATTTAATGCTCCAAAGATAGTATCCAGTTTTCAATTACAGATGAATAAATACATAATATATATTAAGTATAATTTATTTCATCTTTGAGTTTAAAGAAACAAGCAACTAAGGTTTGTAACAATTGATTATCTAAAGATATGTTTTGCCTTACCAGCAAGTGAAAACAACCTAAACCAAAAACTCCTTTTCTCTAGGATATAAAAATGTCTATGATTTTATGTTTGTAATTGTATCTTTTTTTTCCTATGGTACCTGGGTTTACTCTTGATAAAATCTTTTGAGAATAGTTCTGTGTCTCCAGGTGGTAGTCCTGCTCTTTGCCTGTGTTCCTCTAACTGCGCGTGTGACGAGACCAGCCCTGGGGCCGTGCTTTCACGAAGAGGTGTAGCATGTCTGCACGCTTTTTGTTTTACACTCCCCGGGATTTAGTAATTGACTTTGTCTTGGTTTGGTTATTTATGTAATTGAAATCCTGAGCAGAGCCACAGAGTATAGTTTGGGTTGAGATGATGGTCTTTTTTATATGTTGGCATTAAGAATTGTATCTTCTGCCTTGTTTCTTCTTATGCAGCTTTGTGGAATTTACGTTTACTTTTCAGGGTTTTCGTATTTCTTAAATAGATCGTTAGGAAATTTGTTGTTAGTTACGTGAGTCAAAGGCCAGTAGTCCTGTTATCCTCAAAGGTTTAATTGAAGTTTCATTAGATCTTCAAAATGCTGATTTTCATAGAGCTGTTAAGATGGAATTTAAAAATATGTTTTAAGGGTTTGCAAAATAATTTAGCCCAAAACTCTTGTTGTGATGAAGTGTTTGCTAGGAGCCCAGGTTACCTGCCTTAGACTTAAACTATTGTGATTGAGGTATTCTCAGAATCAAAAATATACACTAATTATTTGTTCCAGATGAAGAGGCCAGTGATGAGAATTAACATTTTTGAACAATGACATAAGAAACGGTAACTCTGACTTGGATGTTTTTAAATAGAGAGGGGAATGTTTATTTTATTTTTTGGTAGCATATACAGAGAAAACAAAGTAGTTTCTTTATGGAAAACAAGTCTTTTTGTATCTTCATTATTAATTTGAAATTATACTGTAAGATTAAAATAAAACAAAACACATCTTTTAGTTCCTTGGAGTAGTTCCTAAAGGTGTATTTTGGCAGAATATATCATTATTATATGAGTGGAGTAAAATAAATTTGGAAAGTGTTTGGTTAGACAAAGTTAAGTTACTGCAGGCTTTTCAGAACCTTTGATATGCTATTATGTGGTTTCAATCTCCAAAAAGGACCTGTATTTCACACACCATTTCCCTGATTTATTTTTATCTGGATTTTTTTAAGTATGTGTTTTGTGAGATGCATGTTCTGAGAAATACACTTTGGGAAATTCTTCCCTAGAGTTGCCACGCTAGGTTGGTGAGGCAGGCACGTGTGAGGCCCCTGGTTAGTTGAGCCCCTTTCCTTAGCATCCAGTCAGCTTGTGAACTGGTGGTTTCAGAGAACTGACCAGTTTGTAGGCATCTAAGAGACAGAGGGAACCAACTTGGAATTCTTCCAAACTGATTTTGGCTGTGCTTTGAAAGTGCCAAAAAGGCAATACGTATTTATAGCACTAAAGTCACACGCTGGTTATTACACACACATGCTGGTTATTACACACACACACACGCTGGTTATTACACACGCTGGTTATTACACACACACACATACACGCTGGTTATTACACACACGCTGGTT